ATCTTTGAGTCATCATCAAATACCGTTGGTCGTTGTGGGTTAATAGTACCATGTCGGTTTAAGCGTCGAGGTTGAGCTGTACCTACATCTCTTCTTTGGTTGGTTCTGTAATAGTCCACAATTCCTTCTTTGTTTGACTCATCTTCATAGGCTGGTTGCATACGCTGAATTGTAGGCCTGTGTTGATAATTAGGTTGACCATTAGCATCAACTCTAGCACGATTGATCCTACTATTATCATGAACTCTTTTGACGCCTAAACCTAAGTGAGCATATCATAAATCTCTCGAAGTTCTTGGGTTATCCTTGCTTCTTGTGCTTCTAATGCCGCCCATAGAGCTAGCAATCTCCGATCGTTATTGATGGAGTTGTTGTCATTGCTTCCATCGTGAAGATCATCATCGTTGAATTTGCCACTACTATCATTGATAACGCCATAGTCACTGTCACCATTATTAGTCACCATTATTGCCACTAAACCTCATCTTGATGGGTCATAGGTTGTATTTAGCAAATTAAATTTATGATATATAAGATTCACTATAAGTATAGAGCATACTTCTTAATTTCCTAACCATAAATCTATTATGCTAACACCAAAAGCAAAACTCTAATACCAACTAATGTAGAATAAAAATAAAATTAAAAAAATGCTACTATAAAGAATTCTAAGTAGATTTTACAATAGTTGAAAGATATTATTTGTTGATGATTTTATAGATTTAAAGGAGGCTTTTATTTATACTAGTTCTAGGTTTTAAAAATTAATTATAAAATAATATGATATAAATTTAGGTTTTAAAAATTAATTAATTAATTAATTAATTAATAATATGAGATTAAAAAATATAAAATTAATAAGTAGATAATTTTATATTATTTAAAAATAATCTTCTATTAAATTCCTCTCCTATATTGATTTCATCTCTCAGATTAATTAATTACACATCTTCTTCTTACTACGATTTGGATTTGGATCCAGCAAACTATGAGCTCCTCGGAAAGAACCACACACTGATGTCTCCTACGTATTTCCAAAGCTTAAGCTTTCCCGCATGGCTAATCAGTTGATCTTTACCTGACGATTCACAGATTTCATGTCTTGTCACGTAAGCGATGGTGAATTCCACGGTGGAGAAGAAGATAACGTCGACGGGACGGACAACGATGTCCACGAGATGTTGGCCATCCTTTTTCCCAACACTCGGAGGGGACCGATACGACGCTTATCCTCTCCCTTCTTTTCCTTCCACTTCGATTGACCTCTCGCCAAAGCTGCAACGCCATGACCGCTCTTTAACTCAGCTCATCAGATGATCTCCGGGGTGATCGATTGATTCCCTGGCAGAAGGAGACAGGTTTCCTGCTGCACCCCTTCTGATGCATCAGCCTTTAGATAGATACACGAGTGAGTATGCATGCATAAAGAAACACCACCTGGTCTGCTTCGTTTGTATTTTATCGTGAAGCAGTCGACACGCAGCATGTCGATCGTCTCACCTGCTTCGTTTTGAACACCATATCAACATTGCGATGGACTAATTCATAATCTCCCAATCTATTGGGTAGAAATTAAGCTTGAGATTTACAATGTCCACCCACATATGACAGACACAGATGCTAGAATGATCCTTAATTCGATCGGCATAACGAGATCGACGAACGATGGATGCTATCCCCACGTCCCCAGACCCAAAAGCTATACAGCAAGTGATCGCTCCTCTCCTTTTTCTTGCTTACATGTAACTTCGGAGATTCCGAGGTTCACAAGAAGCCAAGAAAGAACCAGCGCAGATGGCATCCCAAAGTTGCACCTTTCTTTCTTTCTTCCTTCCTGCGATCTTCTTGCGATTGGCAACTTTCCGCTACTTCAGCAGCTCTGTCACCCACCCCACGTCCGGTGCGGCCTCCGCCTTCTCAAAAGTGCTGCCTTTGCTCAGCCTCTCGAACATCTTCGCCCTCAGAGCCCTCCCGGACTCCACCCTCTCCGCCGGCTCCTCTTCCTCTAACCACCTGGAATCGCCGCACGTCATCGCGGGGGCCGTCGGCGTCGACGGCAGGCCGCAGAAGCCTGCATTAAACCCGGCAAATGACGCGCCCCTCGGCGAGGCAAATCCAACGCTTCCCACCCGCGACCCCCAGGAGATCGGCGCCGACTCCGCCCTGCTGAGCTGCAACTGCCTCAGCGACGCCACGATCTCGTTCACCGATGAGCCCGCATGCCATGACCCCCGCCGAAGCTTCGCGCCGTCGGGTGATATCGGCGGAGACTCCGTTGGCGGGGAGTTGGGCGGCGAGATCAGCGTCGAAGTCGGCGAGGCGGCGATATTCTTGGGAAGATAAGAGTGCAAGGACGAGTGCCGGCGAGGAGGCGACCCGTCGTAGGAGTCGGCGGCCGTCGCGGTCGATGGGGAGTTCTTCCTGTGCTGCGGCGGCACCACGCGGAGCTGGTCGGGGGTATGAGCGAAGAAGCAAACGCGGCGGCGGCAGGTGGTGCCGTCCTTGCAGGGCTGGGTGCGGTAGCGGTCGGGGTGGAGCCAGCACTCGAACACCCCGTGGGCGAGCTCGCAGGCGTCGCCGCGCTTGCACCCGGTGGTCTTGCGGAAGTCCGGGCAGGACGTGCCCGAGTACCGGTGCTTCCGCGGGTCGCGGCGGCGGGCCTTCTCCCCCGGGTGCGCGAAGGGGCACTCGGTCCAGTCGTGGGCGCGCCCGCGGGCGCACCGCCGCACCTTGAACTCGTACATCCGGAACTCGTCCGACGCGTACGCGTCCACCAGCGAAAGGTCCTCCTCCCCCGCCTCCTCCTCGCGGCCGACGCATAGATGCAGCGCCGCGAGCGCGGCCTCGTCTTGGAGGACGTCGCCGGCCGTCGGATCATCGAAGGAGGCCCAAGGAGGTACGTGGACCGTCGCATTGTGATAGCAGCTACCTCGTCCGATCATCATCGACATCATCTCCGTCTTCTCATGCTCTCCGGTTGCCTCTGCGCTCCACGGCATTTTAAGGAGCAGAGCAATGGGGGGTTGGGTTAGAAGCTAACCGCGGTTCAAAAAAGCTCTGTTAACTGACGGCGTTTCGGTTCCGTAGCGTAGCGGCATCGGGGATGACGGAGGCGGTGTCAAGCGAACGGTAGGACACGTGGAGCGAGAAGACGGCTCCGTCAGGCGTGCGGTTGTCCCAGCAGGAGACAAGCCCTTCTTCATCACCCACGACAGGCGGGTCCCACAGTTTCCACTAACCACGAGGAAGGTGAGTGATTCGGGCGCCGAATCGCAGAGCTCGAATGGAATTATTCGTGTCCATCATTAATGGTGGTTTGTACGGTCCAGATCGGACTTGGGGCCACGAGATCGACTGTCGAGATAAGTCGGTGGGAGAATGTTATTACTCTTATACCCTTGCATGATAAAGATTTCGGAGTCAGACCGTGTCACGTGACCCCTCGCTTCATCATTGGACTCGGTCGCTTCCCGCATTTGACTTCCTCCGGCTCACGGGAAAGGCATAGTCCAACGAAGACCGTCCGATTCGAATCACGCGGCTACCGAGCGGCGTACCTCGTTCGAGGATGGTGGGTCCCTTGCGGTCCTTCGGTTTGGTGGGTGGTCACGCGAGCCCCGCCGCGTGGGCTTGTGCTGCGATGGCGCCATTAGTGCGGTCGGGGGGGAAGCGGGTCCGCAAAGGCGGAACTCCACCCCGGCCACAGTCGCCTCCTCCGTGCTCCTGCTCCGCCGGCACGGCGCAACATGTCCGAGCGAGGCAGAGAAAGAGACGGAACGCGTGGGTCCGACCCACTGTGATCCCCTGGAACTCCAATCACACAGCACGACGCGCACGCGCGTCATCGCTTCTCCCCGGATGCTCGTATAATCCATCTAGGTTACGACGATGTTCCGGAGCAGGAAGTAGACGCTGGGAGTCACATGATGTACTCACTCGTCTCCGAGAAGATTGACGTGGTCAAAGGGAAGAGACGGTGGGTCACGTTACTTGTACGTGAACGAACCCAAGTGGTGATTTGGGTGGAGACATCGATGGGAAGAGGAACAGCGGTGGGACGGGCCGGTGACGGAGGAAAAGAGGAGCAGCCACGTGAAGGGGTAGCGTAGGGGGATGCCATATGCATGCAGGACGTACGACTTCGTCCCACGCGGCCGCCCATCACAAGATCTTCACTGTACGTGTCCCTCGATCCCCGAACACATCTACGATTAGATTCTTGTCTCGCTCGTCGTCTAGATTAGATTTCGCGCGACAGCTCGGATGTATCGATATGTGTGGTCGTGCAGGGAATCCAGTTGGTCAACTCACCGGTCGATCGATGAGCCGTAGGACACGAACGAACGATGGTTTGCCCATAGCAAAGGAACAGCAGATATCGAAGAGACTGGAGATGGACAGAAAGGAAAAGTGGGTAAACCCATCGATCGCAAGCATTAATGCGGCTCTGACGTGCCGAAACAGGAAATGTTCGCTTAGAAGTCTCATGCAGAACGGCGCATCCATGAGCTGTAGTACTACTATGTTCCCGCGTGAAAGTTCCTTCCTTATCCTGAGGACCTAATCTGCGCGGTCACAGTGTGAGATGGTGCGGTGCAGAGGTACGTAGCACTTCTGGGCCATGCAGAACACTCTTTGTTACATTGTTTCTCATCCATTTTTCTCTCGAAATATTCGCTGAGCCATCAGTACTACAAATGCCAGTCTGTTGTTGTCGACAGCAGTGGTTGAAGAGTTCTTATCGCCCGCGTATCTTATCCCACTTCTTCTGGTGACACAGTGCAGCGAGGCATCCGAAACAAAGTCTCTTTAATGGTACATCGACAGTTCTTATGTGTTGTAATCGAATTGAATGGTTTGGTCGCCTACTCCCAACAGATGACAATCGCATGATTCGGGAGCCTTGTTTTGTTACATACAACAGAGGCTTCCTAATCATCAACTCACTGCTCTTCTCAGCTGGCACAGACACAGAGAGAGAGAGAGATAGAGAGAGGATATTGCTGCAGAAGCTGTCGTTTCACGTTTTCTGCAACTCGATTTATTTTGGACCCTTGCATTTCCACCCAAAGGATTGATGTCCTGCTGACCAAATTAAATATTGCAACATCCTTATACATAATCTTCACGAGATACTAATCAAAACATGACCTCTCGGTCGCCCGGCATGAGTCGTTCATTTAACCGGCATGGAACCTCTCTGGCTGGCAAGATCTCTGTGGCTTCAGCTTTCACCATCCGATCCTCCGTCGCGTCTCATTGCTTTTTATTAAGCTCGGCATACATTTCCTCTATCATCGGTTTCCAAAGTCGAACGCGAGCATTTATGAACCAATTGGAAACCTAGCATCAAAAGCGAGAATTAGCTTCTTTACCATTGGACACAACCTGCATTCATGAGATGCATACAAAATGCGGAGGACCAAGAATCAACCATGGTTAATCGTTGTACCTGGCTCCTGGTCAAACCACTTTTTACCGCGAGCACATGCTTATCGTTGTCTTTCGGGTACCTGAGATCGTTCAAACATTTGCCGATAATTTTTACGACAAGATCGATACGGAAACACCAGACCAGTGAAACTGAAAAACAACTCACGGGTGCAGAAAGTTCTCGAACATCCATGCCCGTAGAACGGAGACTGATTTCTCAGGCAAACCCCTTTGGGGTCTCCAAGATTGATGATCGCTCTTTCTTAGCTGCTGCAAAGCCCATTGCTTCTGCAGTAATGAAGATTCAAAGCTCCTCTCTTTTTCCTTCATGGGTTCCGTGCTTGGTTGCTGAGAAATGAAAAGAATCTGACTGGTAATCCTCTTTCTCAGGCTTTTATAGAGGGCCGAAATGGTACGCAACGCAAAGCGAGCATGGGTTTCGGAGGTGCCGGACTGGGATATGCAAATGAAGGATGTTATCACATTCTGGATCTGGTCTAAGCAGCGATTGTAACCGTGATCAACCTACAGTTTCAAGAAAAAGATCATAACAATCAATCATTGACTACACGTACAAAAAAGTTCATCAAAGAAGCTACCAAAGCTTAACTATCTTTGACAATGTTCGATCACATGCGGATAAGTTCCATAAAAGAAGCTACCGAAACTATTATTAACAACCTTTGTAGCAAAGGGTCCAGACGACTTAGCGGGCATAAAAGGCTCAAAATGAGTCTTAAAAACAGGCATGAAAAGGTTGAGAGACTTCTTAGTAATGTTCTTTCGTGTGTTACTTGCTGTTTGCAATGGCTTTGTCTTTTGTTTGCACAATCTGAAGTGGGCAAGCCGGTTATCGGCTACTGTCTCTAGATCATGAAAACAACAAAGTAATGCTCATAGTTTGCTCGAAAAACTAGACTTCGTTTAGATAGCTCGATAAGAAAATATAGATAAACGACTGATAAGGCACGGATTCATATGTAAAAAGCAGTTGAGACACGATGGATGATGCCAGCAGAGAGGAACTTGTCACTGCAGTGCTTGCTTACCATGCGTCCTTGTGACTTGTACATGAACTGACACGATGACAGCTTCGATACAGCTACTCAATTTAGTACCAAAAAGACGATGGAATACTATCCATGAAACTTTTGAGTTTACATGACACCGAAGAGCAGCTTCCTATATGCATCAACTTAAAAACAGCATAAGAGGTTAGCTAGCCTCACAGCCTCTCTCAATTGTCTTATGGGCTTCATAGCAGGGCCCCATAATTTCATTGCACACCTCATCGAGTAATTGAGATAAAACTTATATAATAGATGCAAAGCGATGTAAGTGGATCAGTGGAAAACCTGATGCAAAGTGCTACTGTCTTTGAAGGTTCATTTTCTTATGCTGAACAATGACGCTCCTAGTTTAACTTCATTGAACCAATGATAGCAATCAGAGATAGTATATGATTGTGGAGCTGAAACCTACTATTCTTACAAGATTAGTTTCATATGTAAGTGTGAGTCCATGAAAAGCATTCATGTTGAAACTCACAGGATACGGTACATAAAATACTAGGATAAACATTATTCTACACCTGGGCATCCGTAAATTTGCTACACAGGAGCATCGTCAGTTTGCGATTAAGAGGAAAAAAAACAGGATCGAGTTATATGTCATTCCTATGTAAGAAATTCATATGAAAATGTAAAGAACAAATTGTTGAATGCAAATGATAACCAAGATATTTCAGAATAAAGATAAGGAAGCCTAATATGGCACTCCATCAAACCTATGTGCGAAAATTTTATGCAAGTAACTAATTAAACTATGCCAAGTATTTATCATTCCAAACTATGCAGCTGCACGCAAGCTGCAGAACTCGAAAAATGAAAATCTCAATGACTGCTAGAAATTAAATAAATGGACCATCAAATTAAAAAAAAAAATTGTATTTATGAAGTTTCACTTACCAACTGAAGCATTGATAGCAGCTCAGTTTTCTTCCTATTGGCTTCCTGGAACTTTTGGGAATCCATACCGGCAAGGGGTTCAGTGTCCCCAAATGAAAGCAGCAGTTCTCCTGAAACAGATATTGGAAGCTCTCTTACGGTGGAGCAGCTTGAAGAAATAGACATCTTCTCATCTGGCGAATCATCTACCCTTTGAAGATCTTCTACTGCATAGGTTGCAATTTCAGAAAGAACTTCTTCGACTGCTTGGAGATATTTTGATCCTAACAGCATATGGGATAACTGAACAAGACTACAACCTTGGTAAAAAGAAGGCTTCTCAGTACAAGGAATAGTTTCTCTTTGCGTCATTCCCGAACGAAAATCTTGAACGGGGTTTTGGATAGCATGATTGCAAGCTTGAAATTCAGTAGGTGGGCGAACACTGTCAGCTGATGCAACTTGAGTTACAGCAGAGCAGCTTAATTCAGAACATTGATCACCATTATTCCCCATGTCCGTGACAGAGGGCTGGCAGGAGCCAAGACTTAGGGACAGCTCGCTACCTGGAGCTCGAGCAGTATTACCACATGGATGGTTGAAGTTCCAATTTGATTCATATTCATAAAAATTCCAACCAGGCTGTGAGCTTCCTGTCACATGATAAGATGGGCGAACCACACTAAATGTTTTACTTAAAAGCACCTGATGGTCGAGCAATTCGTTCTGATTCCACATACAACCAATAGTGCCATTTTTGGGCGCAAGAAGACTGAGATCATGTTGTGTCCCAAAATTACAGTGTGGTGATGCTGAAAGTGAAGAATTGTGGCTATTGTGGATGTCAGTGGAAGCAGGAACGGTCATCTCCTCGGATGGCAAATCTAAAGTGGAAGCAGTACCAACCTTGATGATATTTTCCACCAAATAATTGGTGGAAGAGTACAGGTTAGCAACCGAAGCGGCCGATAGGGAAGTTTCTGGGAGATGCTCACGCAGGCCAACATTTCCGATGGGACCATTCACTGAATCGTTGCCGATCCGAGGAATATTTCTAGAAAATGAAACGTCACTACATGCCATAACACCACTTTTTGTCAAGTAGATACTATCAATTGCTTCTTCTTGCAACGTAGAAACCATCGGATTTCCAGCCAATATTTGCCTGTTGCTGTTGTGATCTGGTAAGCCTGACTGTACAAGAGGACCTGAGAGCATGTATGATGATACTGGATCAACAATCATATGACCATGATTAAATATTGGTAGTGAGCCATTGAAAACATCATTCTCCATTGCGGTGCAAGCTGCTGAATTGCAGTCTCAAGAAGCTACCGATGGACCGCTTGATATGCGAAAATTATTACGTTGAAGTTCAGATGCCACTTCGGTCTGCAGTAAGGACCCTTTGACTTGTCAACCCAGCCCTACTTAGAATCACTGTCAAACACAATATTTCAAAGAAATACAACATAAGGAAGCAAGTTAATTGTATTCTTCTAAAACCAATGGTGAAGGTGTCTGGAAACATGACTTGAAGATGGATGCAGATTTCATATGGCATAACCTTCTTACGTAACAGATGGTTGCATTCATAGACATACCCATCTTGGTAATAATCACTTCTTCTAACGAGTTAAAGAGCTTTGACACAAGAAATAAGAGTGAGCATACAAAAAAACTTACATCCACTGAATCCTCATCATGTCTTTGAACGTCTTTCGTCACCAACAGGATGCACCCGAAGACGACAGATTAAAAGTGAAAATGACTGCTTCTATCTTCAAACAACAGAGAAAATGGCTGCTTCTGTCTTTGGAGATTAAACATAAAACAGGAAAGAGAAAACGACTGCTTCTATCTTCAAACAGTAGATAAAAAGTGATGATCTGAAATGGAATGTGTTATTATTATAAATCAGTGATGATAAAACATGGGAACTAATTCACAAACATCAAAGCACATTCAGGGTCAAGATACATGTTAAAATATAAAATAGAATTAGCAATGTGATGAACTGCTCAGTAATGCAACAAAATTGCATCATTGCATTCCTTGTATGATTTTACTATGACCGTTAAATATTTATAACCAGCACAATTAAATTCCATCAGTAAGAGCATTGCTAAACAAAATTTAGACCAATGTAGATTCTGTCTGTCTGTCGACCGAACGAGTGGGCATCGCGAGATGTCATTGTAACTAAATAATGAAATCGACATGGACGAGAAGAACTAATAACAGTCAATATAAATGAACATCTGATTTTAATGGTATCAAATTCCTGAATCCCCTGGAGATCAAGCTCCAAGGTTTGGACGAAGACAAATTAAATAGAAGCTTAATTTATTCCATCAATCTTCGGCTAGCTGAAATGGTTGCCATCACCTGGCTCAAGAATCTCCTTAAGATCCAGACAAGGGCTCATGGTTTGTTTCTCCTGAACATACAGGGAACTAGTTAACTACAACACTAAAGACATTAAGCTCTATACTCGGGTACAACCTCTGTTGGGCTAAAGCATGCCGTACCAGATCTACACATGTACCTGAACTCACTCATCAGATGGAAACCATGCATTCGAATTAAATGTGAAGGCAGGGTTAAGAGTTTCTCAGATAATAGCCAAAAAGAGAATTTAATGGACCATTCCAGCGTCCAACAAGCACTGGAGCCGCAAGGAACGTCGTGCTTAATGGTTCAGAGTGAGTAATCCCTGTATCCGTAGGTCTATCTAATGGTGTGTTCTTGGATGACCAATTGCTCCAGTGAGAGTAGAACCAACTCCATGCCTAGAACAGACACCATCCGAGATGAAGAAAATGTAGTTGCTTCAAGAAGGTAATAGATGTGGTGGTTTATAACTACATACGATGCAAGTAGAAAACAATACAGAGAGCAGAGCTTTAAAGGAACAACGAGAAGTCAAAACGAACAAAGGTTTAAGCGAAACAAGGTGGAGGAGAAGAGAAGTCAAACACACTACAACGCAGAAGCTAATAGAAAATTTGATCCGTCGGTGCATGAAAGGAACAAAAGACATGGTTTTTCCCAGATTCGTAAGCAAAGAATAAGAGTTCATACGGCATAAACAATTAAAGCACCATGAGAACCAACCTCACTCAACAGTCACCAAAAGCACAGACATAGGTTGTCCCCTCTTCCCTGAACCCTGAGCAAAAGCTGGAGCACCAGAGCCGAGAAGGAAATCAGGCCTGATATCTCCCCCCACTGTTTTCCCGAGCTCACAGGAGCAGAGCTCTTCTTCGGCCTAAAAAAGGAAGTGGGTGATTTCCTTATAGAATGCCTACAAGACATGGCCTTCTCTCATCACTACTCAAGAACAAGCAAGAAAACAATGGGGGGTACAGAGTTCATCAGGCATCCATCCTTTTCAAGACCACTTATGGTAGGTCTTCGTTCGTGGAGTGATCAGAGAATTGGGTTTTCACCGAGCACAAAATCCAAAAACAATGGGTCCCAGAGCCAAAGAAGAATCATGCCCTCCCTCCTCCCTCCCTCCCTCTCCTAGAGAGCAAATGGCCAAAGGCTATGGTTACATTAAGTAGGATTCTCTGTGGTGTGATCAGAGAAGTGTGGTTTTCCCTGGCTTGACAGTACAAGCGCAGAAGATAAAAAAAAGCATGAGGGTCCTTTGGTCGAACAAGTGGCTTGCAAATCATCATCTTTTCTCCCCCAACCTCCAGCAACAACAAACAATAACAGCAATGGAAAATCCAAGTTAGTGTGACAGGAGAAGCTCCATTAGAGTCACTTTTATCATGCCCATTCACCTGTCCTATGATTGAGGGGATAGGTTTCTTCGAGGCTGAACATGAAGACAATCATTCCTCCGCCGATTCATTCTCCAAGTGCAAGGTTTAATATGATGTTTTTGTTTTAGTCTTCCGTCACTTTCTCTCCCTTTTTCACCCACCAAAACCTGTTTCCTCTTTTCACCGAGCTCAGAAAACCCCAACCAGACGCCAAAAGATGAGTTTCTTCTTTCTTCGCTTAACGCTGGTCCAGAAAGTGGGGAAGCAGCTCTGAGGGAGTCAGGATCCCATAAGCTTTGGCAGCGAAGGTACATACGGGTCATCAATCAAGGCCATGCAACCAAAAAAATAATAATAAAGGCCAAGAGGAGATGGTAGAGGCATTGATGAGGAGGAAAAAAACAAGGTTTTGAGGGAGGAGGAGGAGCAGCAGCAGTGCCACTTTGTGCAGGCTTTCGAGGCCCCACCGTCCCTCCTCCTCTCTCTCTCTCTCTCTCTCCTAATCTCCGTTGTCCTCCCCCTCTCCATCTGCTTCTCACTGCAATGATAGTGGCAACCAAATAATCTGAAACCCTGCGCAGGCCCTCTGCTCCTGGCAGCTGTTCTCAGAGGCAACGAGTACTCTGCCTTTAAGCCCACTGTTTTTTTTGCTTGAACAGGCATTACTTGCGACGGAGATGAGAGAGAGAGAGAGAGGAGCTCCTTTCTTGGTTACAGTAGACGAAGCGCATGTATTGGGAAGGAAGAGGACAACATGATGTCAGCCAAATCTAGTGGGGAGATTTCTGACAGATTTAATGCGTCCCAAAACATGCAGTTGCTCATTCACCTGACCTTCAATAATGCTTCGGAAACAAAACTCTGAGACACAGATAACGCTATGGTCGTCTACCATCCTCTTCCACTGTTCGACACAAGAAGAAAACAGCAGCACTGCGTCGCAGGCAATGATCCAAAACCGAGCGAGTTCTTGGTAAAGGAAGAAAAGGCAAGGGGGCCAGCTTTTCTGAGCTCAAGCTGATAGGGTGCAGGTCTTTATTGAAGCACATGTCCTTGTACGCAAGCACATGCAGTGCACCACCAGAAGCAGCAGCAGCAGCAGTAGCAGCTCCCCTCCACCGCCCTCGGCCATGAATGAATTAAATGAAGCAGCCGCAGGCCCCCCCCGTCGATGGGCTCCCGCTCGGTACGACATATGTGAACCTCACATGATTGAGAACGGAGATATCATTCGATCTCCCCGATTGTGGATATGCAAATCGGAGGTCACTCTGACTTATCATTGCAGGAAGCATGGATTGCGTGATTCCGATCGCCATTAAACCAGATTGGTTTTGGCTTCCCCTGTTCCAACAGGATCAAAAAGCCTTTCGACTGCAGTTTGCAAGCCGCCCCCTCCCCGGACAACAGCATCGCGAAGAACAAGAAAACAAAAGCGATGCCCATTATTCTACAGCAAGATGAGTGGAGTCGCTGCAGAGCACTGTGCACTTAATTATGCAAAAGACAAGACAGAGGACAGAGTTCCATAGAATAATGGGCGTCTAACAGCTTCATGATGGAGCATACGACAATGGTACAAACATGATTTTGAGGGTTGAAATGGCTCAGAACAAAACGTTGGCTCCACAGTTAATTTGCCTTTCCGGTAACATTTGGGAAACCTTTTACTGCCCAACATCTTTCTCATCTCTCCTGAGGCTCTTGTCACGTTGCGAGCGATCGATCGCTGGTGATAGCTTTTCCGCCGGTTTCATCAGCATGCGGCTTTTGTCATGTCGTTCACCGGAATAAATGTTGAGGTAACAATTCACACCGAACATTGTGCTACGATCGATTCCGCCGGAAAGGCTGAGAATGTGCACGCGTTGGGTTTCATGTGTTCACCAAATCCGAGTCTGAGTCGAAGCTAACCATTCTTAATTTGCTGTGATCTCAAAGTGCAAATTTGGCCATCGGGAGCACCGGTTGTTTGGGTTCATTACGCGCTGGCGAAGCTTCTGCAACCAGAAAGAATAGAACAGTAGGCATCGGCAGGTCGGAGTGGCTTCAGGAGTGCCTCGGTTGCAGAAAGCAGCGTCGTCGATCAGGTCAGGAGAGAGGCCTGTGCTGTGCTCGTGAAGAAACCCAAAACTGTGCACTGATTTGTGGGCGAGCAGATCTCTGACTTGCGATCATCAAAATCTTCCCAGAATCACGGGACTAATGATGAGGTTTAAAGTCAGTGATCCTCTGAAGGAGCGCCTCGTCTTGATCATGATGGTTTGGATGAAGATGCCGAGCCATGATTCATAGAGTGCAACGAGAAAGAACGAGATGGACCATTTGCGAGTTCTCGAAAGTCGATACAAGAAGGTTTCTTATTCCGATTACATGACACCTTTCATCATTAAAGTGAGACGACGAACATTATCGACACCACCAGCTCATGAAAGCGATTCTGGAGGTGGTTGATGTCGTCGAACAGACCTCATACTCTGTCATCCATTGACCTGACCGAAACAGAGAGTCGTGTACCGATCAAATCATATAGTTAATGTCATCAAAAAATTCGTAGATATTATGATGTCGCGTGAGTTCCAGTCGTCAACACACTGTTCAGACTCGTTCCTTCTTGTTCATATCAGTCAAACACAACAAGAGACTGTGCATGTCAATGAATCGAGAAGTCAAAGCGTAGATCTTCGTTAGTATTTTGAAGGAAAGAGCAGTTTAATTCGAGCCTCGAGAGTCGTCTTGACTGATTCCTTCCCTCATGCTCTTGGACTTGCAATGTTTTGAGGTCTGACCCAACTCAAGACCCGGTCAGTCAACAGATACCGCCAAGCTCATGTCCTTCTCTCTTTAATTCTTTAATCAGAGCCACTGCTTCATAAATGCACTGCAAAGCATTCATTCCATCCCATCACAAACAAGCTCTGACTCCCACTGGAGGTAGAAGACATCAAACGCAGAGAGAGAGAGAGAGATGGCGGCTCTTCGAGTCCAGATTTTGCGGTCGTGTTCATCATCTCGTCCGAGATTTCATGCTAGCCTTTATCGCTCCGCCAATTTCAGAACGAGAAGCATCTACCTTCGGAAGCTAACGAACAAGATCGCAACCGAGGACCTCAAGCTGAAGCAAGAGAACGCGGCCACCGAGGGTAACGAGGACCAAGAGTTGGTGGTCGCCAAGCTTGTTGCCATAGCCGAGGCTGTCGCTGACAGAGCCAACATGCACGCGATCATCGGAGCACAGAGGAACAACTGGAATCACCTCCTCACCAACTCCATCAACTCCATCACCCTCGTCGGCTCGCTCATGGCGGGAGTCTCATCGATGCAGGCTGGAGGTGCAACGCCGCAGCTGCTGCCGCTGAAGATAGCGTCCGTTCTACTGTTCGGCACGGCGACCGGAATGATGCTGATCGTCAACAAGATTCAGCCTTCCCAGCTGGCCGAGGAACAAAGAAAAGCAACGTGGATGTGGAAACAACTCGAGAGATCGATCCACGACGCTCTCTCCCTGCGAGCTCCCACCGAGTCGGACGTCGACGACGCCATGGACAAGGTTCTCGCTCTCGAGAAGGCGTATCCCCTCCCTCTGCTCCCCGGAATGCTCGACAAGTTCCCGGACAAGGTGGAGCCCACACGTTGGTGGCCGAAGCTCCGACAGAGGCAGACGGAAGCGCAGCGCGGACGCACGAACGGAGCAGAGAGGAATGGTTGGAGCGAAGAACTGGAAGAAGAGATGGCGGGCCTTCTCAAGGTTCTGAAGCTGAAAGACGAGAAACAATATGTGACGGTGGGGAAGGCGGCCTTGAACGTCAACAGGGCTTTAGCTACCGCAGGACCGATATTTGCCGGCCTCGCTACCATCGGATCTGGATCGATAGGCGCTTCGGCTCTGGGGCCGCTGCCGGCGCTGCTTGCGGTGACGGGAGGGTCGCTGGCGGCTGTGGCGAACACGTTGGAGCATGCGGGACAGGTGGGGATGGTGTTCGAGCTGTTCCGGAACAATGCCGGCTTCTACAGGTGGCTGCAAGAGGAAATCGAGTTGAATCTGGGGGAGGAAGATGTGGAGAAGAGGGAGAACGGGGAGCTGTTCAAGTTGAAGCTGGCTTTGCAGCTCGGAAGGAGCCTCGCCGAGTTCACAGACTTTGTGCCGTATGCTACTGCTTCATGTAAAGATGAAGATATCAAGGTGTGTGCCGGGAAGCTGTTCTAAGGTTTGACTCTTTCAAATATTTACTGATGCCAGAAGAAGAAGAAGAATATATTACTCCTCTTTTTAATCTTTATTTCAAAGATGAATATTTTGTCAAGCAAAAAAAAAAAAATATATATATATATATATATATATATATATATATATACTATCAACTAAAGATTAAATCAAATAAAAAAAGAAGTTATATTAAAATTCTTCAAAAATATATATTTGTAGGATCTTAAACTTACAACATTTTATACTTAATATTAAAATATTTTGATGGTCATATTATAAAATAAATAATTTGTTAATTTAATAACAAATATACTCGATTAAATAGTTTGACATATATATTGTTGAGCATCAAGTGAGGAGGCTTTGTATTTTGCTTCGATCGTAGAAAGAAAGATTGATTGTTGTTTCTTATTATACCATTAAGTAAAATCATATAAAAATAATCAAAATTGAAACTAGGATTATCCAAGTCACCTCTCATATTATAACTATGTAATTTAAGATATATGTCTTTTTTATAAAATAATCTTAAATTATGAATAGAATTCATATATTTAAAAAAAAAATTATTGCATTAAGATATGGTTTTTTTTAGATAGGATAAAATGACTTATAAGATCAATTAAAAATATAGGTCATATAATTATTAAGAAGATGAGACTACTAATAACAATAAAAAAAGATTAAGGGTCAGAATATTAGTCCAGATTTTTATCTGACTTGTGAACTTTGTTCCAATAGTAGAATGAATCAAAATAATTTTAAATATATACATAAAGATGAGAATTTTGGACTGTATTTTCTTCCAATAGGGTAGTCACTATAACTATTGAAAAGTGATTTTATAAAGTTTTGAAAAAGAGGATAATATAAATTAAAAACCAGTAGGTGAAGACTGGAATCCATTTATAATGACTCTATGATTATACTATAATTCGATTGAATTTAGATATTTCCTAATCCGCTGATATATTTTTTTTTTATCACCAACTAATGATGAAAGAAAGCGATAAAGAGATTCACTATATTCGTGAAGAAAGAAATTTCAACATTGAGAAGAAAAAAAGAAAAAAAACAATGTAAACATATGTTACTATTTATTTTAAGAACCAATTGACGATAATATTGTCTACTTGTTTTTTTTATGAAGTCAAAGATGTTAAGAAGTGAGATGATGTTATGAATGAAGAAATTAAGGTTACGATTTTTTATATCATGAAATTGATAATGACATTCATATGGAGTGGGATATACTTTTATTTTCAAACTAAATGTCTCTTCAAAACAAAAAATTACTTGAATATCTTTGAAGCAAAGTGAAACTTATCTTTAAAATATATTTTTTTTTAAAAAAAAATTAAATTATTATCCTTTATCTTATCTTTTAAATAAATTGTTTAGATAGATTTATAGAGATTAGGGTCTCTTGATTTATTATTAACTTATCTTTTACATAAGTTGATTAAATATAATTATAGAGATAAAGAAACCTTTGCTTTAAATTATATTTTACATCCATAAATAGATGACATCTATCTATATACATCTATAAGTCTCAAGTATTCATGTCTACGGGGCTAAGGTCCAAGAATATATAATTAAAAAATAAATAAATTTAATATATTTTTTTATCTTGGTTTTTTTAATTTAATTTGATCTTGAACTAATAATATTTTATTATTATTATTATCTAAAAAAAAAGTAGCTGTATGTGAACTCTCTCTCTCTCACTCTCTCTCTCTCTCTCTCTCTCTCTCTCCTTTGACAAAACCATGTGAAAGGAAAACACCATCTGACCCATTGACCCATTTGGAACCGGACATTTGACTTCATTTGATATCAGTTTACTCTTATTTAATATAAAGTTGACATCAGCTTGCGGAAATTGGACGAACAGCAGAATTAGATCTGTCTGTCACATCTCTGTAAACTCTCCTTGTTTGATCATAATGTTGATGTGGCAACCGAGAGATTTATGTTCCACAAACTTGAAGATGCAAACGAGAAGAAGAAGAAGAAGAACAATGCTGACACTTTCCTAACCTATTAAAATTATGAAAAATTATATAATGTTATATTAATACTTTATGATTATACTATAATTCGCTTGAATTTAGATATTTTGGGCTTACGATTTTAGATTCAATAAGTTAATACGTAAATTATGCCATTCGATCACCTAATTGATTAATAATGATTCTATAATTCGTTTGAATTTAGATATTTTAAGTTTATGATTTTAGATTCAATAAATTATGAGTTAATATGTCATGTAAGCAGACCACAACATCTACTAACTCAAGTTTAACAAGATGAGCTTATACTCTACATTTTAAACATGAATAAACCATAAGGGTTTAAGTTGTCAATGATAAAAATCACATGGGTTAAAATAAATTTTAATTTTTTTAAACTTAAATTATATATGTTAATTCAGATTTGACGAAAGGAGTTTATAAGAATCTAATTGATTTATAACCAAAATCATAAGAACTAAAAATGATAAATTAATATAACATTTGATAAAGAAAAAATGATTTATAACGTGGGAGTCGTCGTCGATGGACGACGCCCTACAGTCGTAAAGTGGCAAGAACAAATGGAACGTGCGTGAACCACACGTTTGGATTGGTGGGTGCTCGAGTGTTGAGCCAGAATATTCTCACGGTTTATTCCTAAAGCCCCTAATAATCCTGCCAACATATCCCACTAATAGCAGTCGGAGGTCATCCCACCACCCAAATCGTATGGGAATCGAAGAGCACCACCGTAGAATATAATTCATGACACCGCATCTTCCTATCCTCGTCAGTAATATTCCATCCGCATCTTCCTTCCTTCCTTCCTACAAATACCTCGCGCTAATGGATTCTCCGTCGGAGCTCCTAACCTATCTGCCTGCCATTCCCCTGCCTTCTCTTCCGATACGTCTCTTCGCTGAGCCATGGCCGACAACGTCATCGTGGTGTTCGACTTCGACAAGACCATCATCGACTGCGACAGCGACAACTGGGTCATCGACGATCTCGGCGGCACGCAGCTCTTCGACCAGATGCTCCAAACCATGCCATGGAACTCCGCCATGGTATATCTTCTCTTTCGCATGCTCGTGAGAAGAGTCGATTTGTTTCGACCGTTCCTCATCGGTTTCTTGCTTTGGCTTCAGGATAGGGTGATGGGGGCGCTCCATTCGCAGGGAAGAACGGTCGATGAGATCACGGCGAGCCTGAGGAGGGCTCCTTTGCCCGCCCACACCGTCGCTGCCGTCAAAGCAGCTTACGCTCTCGGGTATGCGCTCCGCCCCGTTCATCGCTCTTCTCGATGATTAACATGCTCCGTCTCCCTCCCGACGTCTCGTCTGTGTTCTCAGGTGCGAGTTGCGGATCGTGAGTGACGCCAATAGATTCTTCATCGAGACCATTCTCGAGCACCATGGACTGGGGAGCTATTTCTCGGAGATCAACACGAATCCAGGCTACGTTGACGAGGAAGGAAGGCTCCGAATCCTCCCTTACCATGACTTCAAGACTTCCTCCCATGGCTGCGGTCTCTGCCCGCCCAACATGTGCAAGGTGAGTTCTACTAAACACGTACGTGTAAGCTAGATCGTATCTTCTGATCCCTTTTTATTGTCTCACGCTGCTGCCCAACGCCCAGAGTACGATCATCGAGAGAATCCAAGCGTCAGCATCTCTCGAAGGGAGGAAGCGATTTATTTACCTGGGCGATGGAAAGGGAGACTACTGTCCCGCGCTCAGGCTGAGCGAAGAGGACTACGTGATGCCGAGGAAGAACCATCCCGCGTGGGAGCTTATACTCGCCAATCCTCGTGCCCTCAGAGCAGAGATCCATGGATGGGGAGACGCAGAGGAGCTCGAGGAGGTCTTGCTTCGACTCATCGGCGACTCCATCTCGGCCCGTGGCAGCGACGCCAACCGGTTGATCTCAGCCGACTGCAAGTTTCAGACGACGATGCCACTGTCTTCCCACGAGGCTTTACCCAAGCCTCTTCGAGTTCCTAACTGAACGTGCGAGCGTAGGTAGTGATCGAATGCGGTCAAAGACCATGCTGCGTTGATTTTGGGTGTCTTCGTGTACTCGATTCGGAATAGGAAATGATAATAATGCCTAGAATTATACATCCAGCGTCGTGCTCGTTTGCGTGTCGACGTCGACGTCGAGGGGCGGCGGCAGCACCGCCGAGATTTCGATGACGTTATCTCCCTTTCGATGACGTCACCTCGCTTTTCCCATTGCTTCGATTTTTGTGGGGCCCTTCTCCTTAACTGATGTCGTGTGCCTCGTGCGCCGGTCAAGCCGTGTTCCCTGTCTCGTTCGACCCCTCGATCACGGCTGGTGGGGCCGAGCGTTGAGCTGACGTCAGCGATCTACCCGACGTCAGTGGTGCGTGGTTTGCGGGAGGCTGTGTTTCCTGGCTTGTCGGAGACAGCGAAACCAAACCTCCGGCCGACCAACGACGGTATAAAGGCTGTATAACTACTATGTGCGCGTCCCTGCAAACGTACGCGAATACGGTTCCTGTAAGGGAGCGAGCCCTGTCGCCCGGCCTCTTTAGCTCTCCGAAGGCCTTGGCGGCATGAAGGATAGCTTCGATCCGGTGGACTCTGGTCGGCGCAATCGCAAGCAAAAGCACCCGCGACCTGGGTTGCCGCCGCGGCCGCCGAGGCGGCCGAGGGGCTCCTCGGCGCCCCCTTCCGACGTCCAGCGGCCATCTCAAATGTCTGCAGTTGGTGCGCGCAATATTCTCCCTCCCACCATTCTTCTCTCTTTTCGTCCTTTTCTTCTAATTTTTAGGGTGTTCCATCCCAAGAACTGGTAGTTCTTGGGTCGTTTCTTGATGTTGAGCATGTGTGTTTTGGAAGTATGGTCAATTTATGCATCGTCCGAGTTCGCATATGGTGGGACTGTTATAGGTAATGGGCGAACGGTTGATTGGTTTTCACGGCCCTCGTCATGCTGCAAAATGAAATTTCAATTGGATTCGTTGCCCTTCGTTTGGAACCATCCGCAGTTCATATGCTTTCTGGAATCGGACGCAGAGCGTCAAGAACGTTTCGACCGAATCGATCCCGGTGTCATTCGCCACCCCTGGTCGTTCTTTCTGGTTTGTGCTTGTTGTCTGATGCGGGTCTGCTCCTCCAGTCGCTTTCTTGGACCGGGAGGGGCGTGATACGTGGCCTTTGTTAGGTTCTGTGTGTTTCTTGGTCTTATCTTTGGTCGGTGGATGTGTTTCATATCTGTTACCGGATGAAACCGTGGTTTTAGTAGCGTTAGTTTCGAAGGTTCGGTTTTTCTTGCTGCATGTGTCGTTTTTGGGTAAGTTCTTGGTCTTTATGCAACAACATCAGCTATTCCTGTTCGTAGAGAGTCTACACAAACCTGAAGCTCCAAATCCAATCAGATTTTGTGCATTTTAATTTAACTCTTTGGTCTGGAATGTTGAACGTGCCAGTTTGGGTTTGTAATGATTTTGGTAAATGCATGATTTCTTGTTCGAAGAAGACTTCTTTTAGAATTGTTGGTTGCGGTGCTACTTGATCAATACAACCGACTTTGAATCCTGTAGCTTCTAGGCATGGTATCCGTGTATGATTGAATCTAGTCAGAAGAAAACATAAAGTGTCTTGTTGTATCCTACGTAACCCTGTTTCTATAGCTTAGCCAATACAACTTTGTGTAAAGGAATCCATTTAGGAAGGGAAGAACATGTTCATCATTGTGAATATTTGACCATGAAAAGTTTTTCCGTATGACTTGTTAAAATAGAGAAAATGTCGCCTGCTGTTCTGTGGATTCCAAACCTTGGTAGGTCGGCATGCACGATCTAAGAAATCTTTTCTCTTTATCCATTTATGACAAAAGGCTAAATGTCTTTGAGCGTTAGAGTTTAAATATTCTGTAATTCATCTGTTGAAGATTCACAACGCAGTTTTGGCATGATGATTCAAATCTGATGATCCTGATCCCTACTGATCCTTCTGAACATAAGGCGAACGGCAAATCATGTCGTTCCGAGGCTTCGATAAAATCATCCTACTTTTGAAAAAGAATGATCGTACCACATAGTTTTTCGTAGTATGATTGATGCATTCACAGGTTGATTTTAATTCATATTATTAGTTTGTCTCTTTGTTGTAAGCATTTGTGAGTACCATCAATTGTTTTCTGTCTACCATTTGAAATGTCCTGAAAATGTATGTGTCTTCTCATGGGGACACTTTGTCCTCCGATAATTAAAAAAGAACAACATGAGCTAGCATTATTTTACGACTCTCAATCTGGAGATTGGAACTCTTTAATCAGGTTCTTAATTGCTCGATTGAAATAGGCACTCTTGCCGATGTGTCAAAATCACTAAATGCTGTTACTTTGTGGTTATTCATGGTTTGAGATTTTTCTAGTCAATGAATGGAACAGTTATCATTTTTTTTTAATCCAAAAAGCAATTGTAATTGTTTGTATGTCTCAGACTATTCAGTGAAGCTTCTTGGTCGGGCAATAATGTCTCAGATTGGCATGATTACCCGGTCAGGCCTCCCTTCGTATGCTTATCCTGGTATGATTACCAAGTCAGGTCTCCCTTCACATGATTATCCCGGTTCGACAAAAAGAATTGAAATCCCAAATGAATTGGTTAAACCTCTTTCTCTCTTTCTATTTTTTACTTTTCTTGAACAAAATGGCCTTTAACAAAACTGATTCGTTTTCTATATTTCTGGATTTTCCTGCGTTTCTAAAAATTCGATCTGATGATCCATACCGTGCTTTCTCAGGTTGGCATTATCATTGGCAAAACTGGAGAAACGATAAAATCTATCCGGCTCAACTCAGGGGCCAAGATTCAAGTTACCAGAAATATGGAAGCAGGTCCCAATTCTCTGACCACAACCGTGGAACTTAATGGTACTCCTGAACAGATCAGCAGCGCAGAGAAGCTAATCAATGATGCATTAGCCGAGGTAATGTTGAAATGAAATATAAAATGGCAGCATAATGCTAGCCAACGATGCCTAACATATACCTGATTCATGGTGCTGATCCGTAACTGGCGTAGGGTGGTTTTGGGGGTTCCAACATCATTTCTACTCAAGAGTCTGGAGACATGGAGCCTGGCCCGGAGCATTGTCACACGAAAACTCCAAAAGACATGGTGAACTTATTCTGCTGGATACTTTTTGAAAATTTTGTTCTTTCATTATGTAACACTGGGCCTGTGTCGGTTCCAGATTGGACAAGTACTTTGTAAAGTTGGTAACACCATAGAAAACATGCAAGCTAGATCTGGTGCTCGTATGACAATTTGGCTGCTTCTTGTCTTTCTATTTGTAGCTTATTCTAGATAGTGAATCAAGGACTTAGCTGGTTTTGAGCATGGAAATTACCAATTGTAGGTCTCATTTTTTTCATTTATGTAAATATTATTGCATTGTGCTCGTCAACCAGGCAAATTTTCGTTCGAAACTTTCAGTGAGAATTCTTTAGTTCTCATTAATGTGATTGTTCTCCAGTATTACACATTGTTGCACTTTATGCTGATCATTGGTATAAGTCCAGATGTACTTTTAGGAATAAGGGATTGCTTCATATGGTCATATAAATACTCTAATCTTTGTTTTTCTAGTTCATTCTTATTGCAATTCAAACATATCAGTGGTAATTACTTTCTGTTGCTTTCTAAACTACAATAAATTGACTTCAGGCGAGTCCTTCGCATCTGCCCTCTGGTGGTATGTCTACAGAAAGCAGGGCATATTTAGTTGGTCTGATGGGGAAGTTTGAAGCAGCAAAACAAATTGTCAATCAAATTATTAAGGTATGAAAGACATGTTATGCTTGTTGTGTAACCTGACGAAATCCTTTCTCCAAATTACTAGAGCTATTGCTTGGATAATTTAACTTTTCAGCTTTCAAAAAAGTACATGTGGGCCTTCCATTTCTAAAGATTTTCGTTGTCATGGAAATTTAACTTGCCTGGTATTTATGTCTATAATTGTTTGCACTCTGCAATAATTGTCGAGGTTAGTTCCTGACTAATTATTTGGATACTGAGCTTTAATTTTCATGGGAAATACTGAAGGATTTAGCATAGTGTTGGAAATAAAAAAATTTACATTGTCAAAGGGAGCACGTTTGATCTTCTTGGCTTGGCACTGGTATGTTACTGAACCTTAAATCCCTGGACTGTTAAGCGATGCTAAGGGGAGAAGACTGGAAGCTGTTTATAGTGGTTTTTGTCGAGGGCTTATCTAAACATGTCTCATGATTTGATAGACAGAGTCGGGGTTTACAGTCTAGATTATAATAAGAAGCATTACTAATTGTTTATGTACATTCTCAGTACCAGCTGCTAAAAGTAACTATTGTCAATAATATACAGTTATTTTTTATGACAAATACTGCTAAAGGAGTTATTCGTTGTGCTGGGGAGACTGAGGAACTGTCATAGGTCCTGCTATCTAGTTGAATCTGGTGAATAGCCGATATGCTTCTTATTTTTTTCCTTTCATAGTTTATCTAATTGCACATCAACAATGTCTTCAAGTTATCCTGGAACATAAAAATTAGTAGCTTGTTTTAACTTAATGTGAACTGATAGAAATCACATCTGATGGACAGCTGATCTTCTTTTTTCTTCCTTCATGGTTTTAACTAATTAGACGTGAACAATGTCTTTGACATGTTCTCTGAATGATTAGCTTGGAACATAAAAAAATTAGTAGTTTGTCTTAGTATATGTGAATCGATAGAAATCACATATGATGGAATATCATCATTAATTGTTGATTTATTAAAGCAGTTTGGTTGTAAATAAATTAGTCATAACACTTGAAACGACTTGTGGTTTGAAGTACGTAATGACGAACCAAAGGTCGTTAAAATGAGTATTTGGCGATAGAAGTTTGATTGCCAAAGGAACATTCAAGCACATATCATACTTTTAATATTGACGTTTGCTGAATTTTTATAGATGATAATTCAAGAGGCCTTCTTGTTCCGGTGTAGTTCTTTTTTATTCCGATACGGTGCGTTCTATATTTTCTGTTACATGTGTTAGCAACCAAAAAAATACTGTAAAACAGTGAGCTAACTTTTTGGACAGAGCACTTTTCTTTTGTATTCTATTTTTACATGCTTTTGAACATATAATCTGTAACCCAAATATGTTTTTTTAACTTTTTCCTTTGATTGAGATCTTAAGGGGCATCCGTTCATGTAACGTTGCCTGGTCCTTTTCCTGAGGAATGTCCTGTTATTCTTGTTCTAACCTTCATTCTCTGAAATTTTGTTATTTTACTTTTAAATTTCATTATCCTTACCATATATTTTGTGAACTTCCCTCCAAAAATTGCTTTCATTTCTATATTGGGACATGCTTAATGCTGTCAAATTACATAAAACTATACCTGTGGCTTGTCACTTCAAGTTAATTATCAGTGACATTTAAGCTGCATGCATGTGGTGTTTTTGTTATATATGCATGCATAGAAGTTCCTCAACCAGCAACCCTTGAAGCACACGACCACCCACAGTTGTGTTCAAAATGGAAATGAAAGCAAGCTTGCAAATCCATCTATCAGTGTGGCATACTTTTAGTCGTTAGCATCAGCTGCAGGTGGCCTTCGTATGCATGCCATGAAATTCTTGATTGTTGGTTTCTGATCGTGCACATTATTGTTGCAGCACATTTCTTTAATCATACATTGTCACTCTGGCCTCCTGGATCATGTTATCCATCTTCCGATTGTGGAAATCATGCAAACCACAGTGGTTGTTCTTGCTGACAGGAGTTTCTACTTTCAAACTTATTGGTACTTATGAATAGATTAGCAGCACAGAGAAATTAATCAATACTGCTTTGGCTGCGACTGTGTTTAAATGATATATAAGGGCAACAGAAGTCTGGCCAATGGCCCCTAATATATATCTGCTTCATGACGCTGATCCATCACCACTGGTGTAGGGTGATTCTGGGGATCCTGGCATCAGTTTTGCTCAAGAACTTGGAAGCGTAGAGCCTATTGCTCAGAAGTTTCAGATGAAAGTTCCAAATGACAAGGTAAACATATTCTGAAAGACACTGAAAAGAATGAATTCAGCATATGAGGCTTCCACCAATGCATCTGAGGAGGGTCAACTCTTAACATACGCTGTTAGAAAATTTCGTGCTTTCAGTGTGTAGTTTCCGTCTCGTCTATTCCAAGTTGGTCTAGTAATTGGTAAAGGTGGATATGTAAAACCTCCCTCTCTTTTGGTTTTTCACTATTCGAAGACGCAGGTGCCATTGCAAAAGATGATTCGTTTCTTGAATTCTGGATTATCTTGAGTTTCTAAAAATTTGATCTGATAATCCTTCATGTGCTTTCTTAGGTTTATGCAATCATTGGCAAAAGTGGAGAAACAATAAAACACATCCGGCTTGAGTCAGGAGCCAAGATTCAATTGACTAAAGATACGGATGCAGGTCCCAATTCACCGACTACGGTGGTGGAACTTAATGGTACTTCTCAACAGATCAGCAGCGCAGAGAAGCTAATCAATGATGTGTTAGCGGAGGTAGTGTTGAGCATAGGGCTGGTCAATGATGCCTGACATATACCTGATTCATGATGCTGATCCATGACTGGCGTAGGGTGATTTGGGGTGTTCTGATGTCATTTCTGCTCAAGAGTCTGGAGACATGGAGCCTGACGTGGAGCATTGTCACATGAAAATTCCAAAGAACATGGTGAATTTATTGTCACAGATACTTCTTTGAAAATTTTGTTCTTTCATTATGTGGCACTGGTCCTGTGTCTATTTCAGATTTTGCAATAATTGCAGAGATTAATTCCTGACTAATTGTTTGGATTCTGAGCTTTAATTTTCATGGGAAATATTGAAGGATTTAACTTAATGTTGGTAACCAAACAATTTACATTGTCTAACTTGAGGTTGATGATGAGGGCTCATTTTATAGACAAACTTGAGGTTTTATAATCTAGATTATGATAAGCAGCATTATTAACTGGTATACTTGCATTCTCCCTATCAGCTGCTAAATGTAACTACTGTCAATAATATACAGTAATACTAAATTTCCACATTTTTTATGACAAATACTGCTAGGAACTATGCATTGTTCTATAGAGAATCTAGAACTGTCATAGCTCCTGCTATCTAGTTGAATCTGGTGAATAGCTGATCTTCTTGTTTTTTTCTTCCTTCATAGTTTATCTAATTGCATGTCAACAATGTCTTCAACATGTTATCTGAATGATTATCTTGGAACATAAAAATTATTAGTTTGTCTTAAATATATGTGAATTGATAGAAACCACATTTGATGGATCGTCATTATTAATTGCTAATCTTTTAAAGCAGCTTGGTTGTAAATTAGTGATAACACTTGAAACTACTTGCGGTTTGGTGCACGTAATGACGAACCCAAGACTCCTAAAATGAGTATTTGGCGATAGAACCAAAGGACCATTGGAGTATAGAATTGACTTTTCATGAGAAAGCTTTGTATGCTTTGTTTCATACTTTTAATATTGACGTTTTTCTGAATTTTTATAGATGATAATTCAATAGGCTCTATCTTTCTCTTGTAGTTCTTTTATATTCTGATATGGTGTGTTCTATACTTTCTTTTCTGTTACATGTGTTGTGTTATATACTTTATTTAGCAATAAAAAAATACTGTAATATAGTGATCTACTTTTTGGACAAAGTAGTTTTCTTTTGTATTTCTATGTTTACATGCTTTTGAACATATAATCTGTAACCCAAATATGTTCTTTTTTCCGCTATAACTGAGATGTTAAGGCGCATTTGTTCGCGTAACTTTGTCGGGTCCTTTTCCTGAGGAATGTCCTGTTGTTCTTGGTCTAACCTACATTTTCTGAAATAAATTTTTTTTATTTCAAAATTTCATTATCCTTACAACATACTTTGTGAATCCTCCCTTAATGCTGTCAAATCAGAGAAAAATATAACTGTGATTTGAAGTTAATTATCAGTGACATTTAAGCTGCCTGCATGTGGTGTTTTTGTTATAAATCCATGTAAAGAAGTTCCTCATCCAGTGGCCTTTGAAGCATACGACACCTGCGCAGTTGTGGTCAAATGGACATGAAACCAAGCTTTTGCAAATCCATCTATCAGTGCGGCATACTTTTAGTCATTAATATCAGCTGCAGGTGACCATCATATGCAGTCCATGGAATTCTTGATTGCTGTTTTTAAATTGTGTACAATTTTGTGGTAGGACATTCTTTTAATCATACATCATCACTAGGGACTCCTTGATCACGTTATCCATCTTCCGGTAGCGGAAATCTTGCGAACACAGTGGTTATTCTTGCTGACATCTGAACTTATTGATACTTATCAGCAGTGCAGAGAAGTTAACGAATGATTGGTTAGCTGGGATATTGTTGAAACGATATATAATAGCTAATGGCGCCTAATATAATACTGATTTATGAAGCTGATCCATCACGACTGGTGTAGGGTGGTTCTGTGGATCCTGGCACTGCTTTCGCTGAAGAGTCTAGTAGAATGGAGCCTGGTGCTAAGTGGTTTGAGATGAAACTTCCAAACAACAAGTTAAACTTTATTCTCATAGACACTGAAAAAAATGAACTCCATGTGCGGGGGATCTGCCAATGAAATGTCTGAGGAGGGTCCATTCTAACATAAACCGTTTGCTCTTTTGCTCTTTCAGTTTTTTCAATTTTCAAAGATAACAATTACCACTGAAAAAGCTGATTCGTTTCCTGAATTCTGGATTCTCTTGAGCTTCTGTAAATTTGTTCTGATAAACTTTCCTGTGCTTTCTTAGGTTGGTGTAATCATTGGCGAAAGTGGAGAAACAATAAAATGCATCCGGCTTCAGTCAGGAGCCAAGATTCAATTTCCTAAAGATACGGGTGCAGATAGCGACTCACTGACTACAACGGTGGAACTGTATGGTACTATTGAACAGATAATGAGCGCTATGAAGCTAATCGATGATGCATTAGCTGAGGTAATGTAGAAATGATGATATATGAAATAGCAGTATAAGGCAAGAAAATGATGCCAAATATATATACCTGATCCATGACATGATGCATTAGCCAATGGTGCCTAATATAATACTGATTTATGATGCTGATCCATCACTACTGGTGTAGGGTGGTTCTGTGGATCCTGGCACCGCTTTCGCTAAAGAGTCTAGCAGAATGGAGCCTGGTGCTGAGTGGTATGAGATGAAATTTCCAAGCGACAAGGTAAACTTTATTCTGATAGGCACTAAAAAAAATGAACTCCGTTTGCGAGGGATCTGCCAATGAAAGGTCCGAGGAGGGTCAATTCTAACAAACTGTTTGGAACTTTTGTGCTTTCAGTGTGTAGTTTCAGTTGTCTATTCCAGGTTAGTCTAGTAGTTGGTAAAGGTGGATACACAAAACCTCTTTTGCTCTTCCGGTTTTTTCATTTTTCCAAGATAACAATTACCACTGAAAAAGCTGATTCGTTTCCTGAATTCTGGATTCTCTTGAGCTTCTGTAAATTTGTTCTGATAAGCTTTCCTGTGCTTTCTTAGGTTGGTGCAATCATTGGCGAAAGTGGAGAAACAATAAAACGCATCCAGCTTCAGTCAGGAGCCAAGATTCAATTTCCTAAAGATACGGGTGCAGATAGCGACTCACTGACTACAACGGTGACAATGTATGGTACCATTGAACAGATGAGGAGCGCAGAGAAGCTAATCAATGATGCAATAGCTGAGTCTAGAAGAACGGAGCCTGGTTCTGAGTTGCTTGAGATGAAACTTCCAAGCGACAAGGTAAACTTATTCTGATAGACACTGAAAAAAGTGAACTCCGTGTGTGAGGGATCTGCCAATGAAAGGTCTGAGGAGGGTGAATTCTAATAAACTGTTTGAAACTTTTGTGCTTTCAGTGTGTAGTTTTGGTTGTCTGTTCCAGCTTGGTCTAGTAATTGGTAGAGGTGGATATACAAAACCTCTTTTGCTCTTTTGGTTTTTTCAAAGATAACAATTACCACTGAAAAAGCTGATTCGTTTCCTGAATTCTGGATTCTCTTGAGCTTCTGTAAATTTGTTCTGATAAGCTTTCTTGTGCTTTCTTAGGTTGGTGCGATCATTGGCAAAAGTGGAGAAACAATAAAACGCATCCGGCTTCAATCAGGAGCCAAGATTCAATTTACTGAAGATACGGGTGCAGATACCGATTCACCGACTACAACAGTGGAACTGTTTGGTACTATTGAACAGATAACAAGCGCTAAGAAGCTAATCAATGATGCATTAGCTAAGGTAATGTAGAAATGATGATATATAAAATAGCAGTTTAAGGCTAGCAAATGATGCCTTAGATATATACCTGATCCATGACATGATGCTGATCCATGACCGGTGTAGGATGATTCTGGGGGTTGTTTCATTGGTTCTGATAGCACAAGCCTCGATGTTCCTCGGCCACCTTCCATCGACGACGCCCATCGAGGGACTTAATCCAGGAAGAGGTGCGCAAGGCGGAGCCAATGAAGGTACTCCAGCCGCGGATGCTCTTCCAGGTCATCGGCATGACCCACAATCATCATCAGCAGCAGCACCGTCACTATTTCAGGCCACTGATGGGCAGCCTACTCAGCCTGTTGATGGTGAGGGTGAGGGTTCCACCGGTGGGTAAGGCGGGATTTGCAGCAGAGGCAACAGCAGCATCAGCCCACCTAGTGACAGCCTCCTGTGTGTTCCGGTGGCCACACCATCCACGGCACACCCAGGATTCATCCACTCCGGTTCTAAGGTCGATTGTCTTTTTTTTTTTTTTTTTTGTTACACCGCACCATGCCCTGCAGTCTGGCCATTCCACTGTTACAGAGCATCTTACTTTTGAAGGAAGAGGAACCTCTCTACTTTGTTCATGATCCCCGATGGATATGTGAAGTCAGTGTTCTGTGATTCGGAGAGCTGAGGGAGTGGTTCATGTCCAAAATTCAATTTGTAGCAGACAAAATTGAACTGAATAATCATGAGTTGATCAATTTTGTTTTGTGCAAGTCATGTAATAATACTATGGATCTTTATGGCAATATTACTAGTACTGACAGATGATTACTACGAGGTATTGAATGTGTCCTCGGACCAAATGTCATTACACTGGTGGAACACTAATCAAACCGTGTGAAGAAACTAATGGTAAGAGATTGTTTTGTTTTGTTTGTTTCTTAGATTAAATATGTATTAAGAAATCGAACATCAATTCGATCTAAAAATTTAAACATGTGAAGAAGCTAATAGAAAGATGGTAAGATATTTTTCTTTTTAACTACTGACTAGCATCAGTCTTGAGTTTATAGCAGCAATATGTGTTCGTCTCTCGCATACCAATATTGATTTGGTCCCTAACCGAGAGAGAGAGAGAGACGTCGTGGCCGATCATATAATTCATGCATAGCCTGTCAACACAACCGATCACATAATTGAGCCTGTTTTAAACACACACCTGCAGACTCCGGCAGCAACAAGAAGAAGAAGAAGAAGAAGAAGAAGACTCTCTCTCTCAATCAACATCCTCCTCCTCCTCCTCCTTGCGTTACAACATCGTGCCATCTCTCTCTCTCTCTGTCTCTCTCTCTCAATCAACATCCTCCTCGTCCTTGCGTTACAACATGGTGCCACCTCAAAAGGACCGACTGGGTTCGTACCACCACCGCACGACCTGTTTGTTGCCTGCATCGCCTGGATTTGATTTTGGCCCCAAAGCCAACTCATATGATCCCTCACGCACACATTTAAGAAAGGATTTGGTGGGTTGCGACGTCTGTCTGTCTGTCTGTGTGTCTGTCAGGGCGTCATTCGGCGTGGGTAAATGGGAAACAGCACACAAGAAAGCAACAAAAAGAATCCATTAAACGGCTCCAAATCCTTTTCCTTGGATTACGAGGCATACGATGCTCGCCCACCAGATTTCTGTCTCCTGCTCCTCCTCTGTTGCTTCTATTCATCCCCGTCGGCGTTCGATTCACCTCCTCACTCTTCTTCTCCTTTTTCTATTCTTATTTTAAGATAAAAACACTTCTTCTGTAGAACCGACTCGGCATCACTATCGCAACACAAAACAAAAAGGATCGAAATGGGACGGTGATTATATAATGAGCTATGTAATATTGCTGTATCTATGTCTTAACTACCTACCTATCATTCTCAAAAACTATAGATTCTTCTTCTTCTTCTTCTTCTTCTTCTTCTTCTTCTTCTTCTTCTTCTTCTTTGAATAATATAACTTTATATAAATCTCAATTTATTAAAAAATTAAATCTATAATTCTTTTATCATTATATTTTTTTAAATATATTTTATTCGAAAAAAGATGAGAAGCTCATCGGCACCGTTAATTCTTCGATTTTCAGGTTAGAAGAAAAAACTCTATGGAAATTCTTTCCGATTGTTCCTCGTTACACACTTTAATCACCCTACTTCGTGTAGTTACTAATTTTTCACTCATAAATAAATAAATAAATATCATTGAACTTTATTTTTTTTTATGTATGAACAATAATATTACATGTGGTTCTTAAAAAAAAGAAAAAAATGGGTGTCTAACACTTTACGACTATTGAGACATGAATTAATGAGTCGAAAATGATAGGTCGAAAATATTAAAAATGTAAAATTTCATCGATAAATTTTACACAAAATATGTATTAAAATATTATTGCAAATAAATATAAGGTTGGAAAGGAATATTAGCTGTGCATCCTTCTTCTTACAAGGAAGCGATAAGACAGGAGGACAAGTCCAACTATGAGTTCAATCAATGATCCAATCATTCTAATGCAGCATGAAAAGCTGAAGTTAGCTTTCCCACACTGCTCCCCCAATCCTTTCCCGGTGACGAATATATCAATAGCTCATCAGCCTTTTGAAATCATTCCTTCCTTTCTTCTTACTTTCTTCTTCTTCTTCATTCTTCTTCTTCTTTTCGGACTCACCCATTACCATTAATTTAATAGCCACCGAAAAGTAAGTACAACAGAGACATACCAAAACCAACCACAATGGAATCTGATCCAACACAATGCAATCAGTCTCTCTTTCTGTGTGTGTGTGTGTGTGTGTGACACAGAGAGAGAGAGAGAGAGAGAGAGAGAGAGAGAGAGAGATCTAACACACATGAGCAGGACTTCTTAACATGCTGAGGTAAGATGAAACAGGAACACAGTTGTTTTCACAGCATTCACGAGATTAAACGGGGAGAAAGGAATTTCTAGAGATGCGTAGGAAACAAAGGAAAAGACAGCTCGTGCAACGTCAGAGTTGGCCGCATGGTGTGGGTCTTGATTGTATCCTACCTTGCTTCTCTCGTCCACATACTCTTCTCTCTCTCTCTCTCTCTCTCTCTGCTTTCCTTTGCTTTTCTTCGTCTCGTTCGGGATGGTTTTGTGTGGTAGCAGTTTTCGTCTTCTGTATCAGTTAGCCTTTGGTTTTATTCCGAGCAACTTTGTGGGTTTGTCTCTTCTTTTGACGCTTTGGAGTGAATTATATGTAGTGCTTTCCTGATAGTCTCGTTCTTGTTCTCCTCCTTTCCAGTACTCGAATTGGACCGTCGATGGAGGTCTCACCGTAGTTTGCTTCTCTCCTAATTTAGATCTTAATCGAGGTCCGAAATTTGCCTGAGCGCTTAGGACATCGGAGATCGCTCGTCGCATGAGGACCACTCCATTTTTCATTGCATGTATCCGTAGGATGTCCCTCGTAGATAGATGCATGTCGGGAGATGGAGAGCGAGCGATGAACGATGTCACTTTTCCTTAGCTTTGGAATCCGTAGTGCTTTCCTTTTGCAGAGCGATGAACCGCCCGTAGATCTGCTTGTTTTCTTCCGACGGATCGGCGTTGTATCATCGGCCCTCGTTGGCCTTTCGATTCCTTTTCCGCCTCTCGCCGGACGAGACACTCGACGGTGCTGCTCGGGAGACGATGAAAGGGCTGACGATACAGCAACACCAACCGGCGGACGAGAACATGTCCAATCTCACCTCTGCCTCCGGGGAAGCCAGCGTCTCTTCCAACCAGCAATCCTCCTTCGCCTCCCCGACCCCAAATCCAACCAAGAAAAAGAGGAACCTCCCGGGAAATCCAGGTTCCTTTCTTCTCATCCGCCTGGCGATGCGTGTCCGACTCGATCGTTCCGTCTTAGATTAATTACCATGTTGATTTTGGGGATTTCTTCTGCATCGTAGATCCGGATGCCGAGGTGATAGCGTTGTCCCCCAAGACGCTGATGACGACCAATAGGTTCGTGTGCGAGATCTGCAACAAAGGATTCCCGAGGGAGCAGAACCTGCAGCTGCACAGGAGAGGCCACAACCTCCCCTGGAAGCTGAAGCAAAGAAGCAGCAAGGAGGTGAGGAAGAAGGTGTACCTGTGCCCGGAAGTGACCTGCGTCCATCACGATCCCTCCCGGGCGCTTGGCGACCTTACTGGGATCAAGAAGCACTTCAGCAGGAAGCACGGGGAGAAGAAGTGGAAGTGCGACAAGTGCTCCAAGAAGTATGCTGTTCAATCCGACTGGAAGGCCCACTCCAAGATCTGTGGCACAAGGGAATACAGATGTGACTGTGGCATCCTATTCTCAAGGTAGCAATTATTTGATCCAAGTACAGATGATATTAGTAGTAGTAGGAGGAGGAGGAGGTGGAAGAGGAGGAGGAGGAGGAGGAGGAGGAGGAGGCTCCATTATCGTAGCACTGCATTTACTGAAGCCCCAGAGAACATATCCATCCTAGGCATAGTAGCTAGCACTTCTGCTGCTACCTCTGAAAAGAATATTAGTGAGAGAGAAGAAAACTTTGCATCCACCTCTTCCTTCATTCTTCTTGTTTACATGCATTTCCTTCTGTTCTTGGGAGAGAGAAGACCATCTGTGTGTGTTCTTCCGTGCTTTCTCGTTGGCTTTACTATCTGTGTGTGTGTTCTTCCGTGCTTTCTTGTTGGCTTTACTACCTGTGTGTGTGTGTGTTCTTCCGTGGTCTCTCGTTGGCTTTATCTTGGTTTGGTTGTCACTTCTGTCGCTGCTGCTGATTGCAGGAGGGATAGCTTTATCACACACAGAGCCTTTTGTGACGCGCTGGCAGAAGAAAGTGCAAGAGCTATGGCAGCAAACCCTTTGACCAATCACCAGGCTCTCCTCTTCTCGCCGGCTGCAGCATCCTGTGAGCCTTCCTCTCTCCAGCCAACACTCCTACAAAGCTACTTCCCTCACCTGACGAGAGGCGATGAGGCCGACGCCAGCATTCTCGGTAGCCACGGGATGCAGCGAGAGCTGTCGCTCGGAGGAGAACACCAGCATCAACGATTCAACGTCAGATCAACCATCCCACCATGGCTGGTTTGCCCAGGAGCCACCGCTCTGAACATGTTAGACCTCCCTTCTACCGTCTACTCCACCAGGTTAGAAGCGGAGCACGGTCGAGAGGACCCAGTTCCCCATCCTCCTCTTCCTCCAGCGTTCCCCCATGCCTTGGCTCCCTCCCCTCACATGTCGGCCACCGCGTTACTCCAGAAAGCGGCTGAGATGGGTGCAACCATGAGCAGACCTGCACACCTGGGTCTGATGGCAGCTCACGCTCCGAGTTCTGCGCCTTTTGCGGCCGATGGTACTTCCGGCGTCGGTCTTGGGTTGTCCTCATACCGAGACATGGGTCACGGCATCGGTGGTGGACAAGGATCAGCACCTCCTCCTCCGCTTCTTCGAGACATGGTTGCGACCTCGCTTTCCGCAACTCCAGGTTTTCATGGGTCTTTTGAGGATGCAATAAGAGCAATAAGAGAAGCGAGGAATAGCGACAAGAGCGGCCTCGGGAGAAGCCATGGAATGGCCGAGGAAGGAGGTGGCGGGATGAACGATGGGATGACGAGAGACTTCCTGGGACTGAAGGCTTTTCCCCACAGGAACATCCTCGACCTGACCGGGTTGGATCCATGTTTGACCGCCGCCGCCGCCTCCTCCTCCTCCTCCGCCTACGAACAGCAAAGCATGAAGCCATGGAACGGCTAGCTACTCCGAGAAACCTGGTACGTCTGTGCTACTCCTTCGCATTAGGTTTAGCAGTCATCTCTGGGTGTGATCAGTCCGAAACAATGGGAAATAGATTGCTCCTCCCATCACAAAATTCATGTTGGGTGTATGTTCGTTCTTTGCTTTGGTTTCCTATATATGTTTTGATGGAACCATTCGGTCCATACAGATGTGGCACCGTGAAGCCATGTACAGGAATGACAGGCCTACGGTGCACTTGTCATGTCGGGTGGCTCATCCATCTGCGGAGAACGATGGGCGAGTACTACTACTCGGAGAAGAAGAAGAAGAAGAAGCCAATCAATCATTAGCGATCAGGTGAGGTGTTGCCACTCCATTCCTCCTCCTTCCTATGGCCTACCCATACGGCCATATATAGAGCATAGTTATGTCATCAAGGATATATGTATGTATTGTCGACGTTGTTGGTAGACGGCTCTGCTTTCTTTATTTCCCTTTTGTTGTTGTTGTTGTTGTTTCTTCAGGACAAATATGAGATGACATGAAATAATAGTCTCTCTCTCCTACTTAGAGAAGTTATGTTTCATAATATTAGAGCATGCATGACATGAGTGTTTTTATGTCTAATCTTCCAAGATATATTTCATTACATTACATGATGTATATATAACATGTGAACATTGTTGGTCTTTCCTAGTCTTGTTTTTGAGATGCTTTTACTCACATTTTTAGACTTCAAAATTATGTATGTATATATATATATATACACTAATAATATAGAAAATAATTAAAAAATGAATAAGAAAAAAAAAGCTTCATTGATTAAAGAAATTCTTAATTCTTTAATCACATTTTTTTTCTTCTGATAATTGGGACATGATATTTTCTTTCTCCAACAAAAGCTCCCACGCCAATATCCAACAACAACAGCGCACAAACACTAGTGCAGATATCACGAGCAAACAGGTGGAGAGGACAGAGAAGGGTTGTAATAAACGTGAAAGACAAACGACCATTCCTGTTGGCTCCTTTCGAGGACAACTTCTTTGAGCTTTTGGCACGCCATACAGACTTTACCTTCTTTTCTGCCTTTGTCTTTAGGCCTTCTTCTTTTTCGCATGTAATGTAAACTTGCCATGGAGATGCATGTTTCCCCTTCGTCCGTCTGATCATTATTGCCTTCTTCCTCCTCATACTACATAGCACTATACTCGCCCTAGTAGGGGTGCGATCAGATGCCTTTGCATACATCAACACAGAGAGAGAGAGAGAGAGAGAGAGAGAGCAGTGAGGAGCACAAGGTTTTGATTAAGAGATACGAGGGAGAGGGGGGGCGAAGGAATCTGTCACACGGTACCGGTGAGGCCCTTGTTTCTATCTTTTGCTGCCACCTCGACCTATGTGTTGTGGTGGTGGTCATGGTGTCGTCGATAAGGATGTCGAGGCATGAAGACGAACAGCAGCAGCTATCACGAGGTCCGGTAATGCACTGCATGCCACTCCATTCATTCCCCACTTTACTCTCTCTCTCTCTCTCTCTTCTCTTTGAGCTTCTTCCTCTTTTAAAAAGTTGGTCTACGGAGGCGAAAGAGATGAGCTTGAGGCATTAGGGTTTAGACTTTTGAAGCAGATGCCGTTGACATGTGGTGCTTGCATGATGAATTCGGTATGAGGAAATAAAGGTGACTGAGTTCTGCAGGCCAAAAGAATCATGATTACGTCCATCCATGTGTTCCAAGCACTACTCCTCTCGCTAGGGTACTTCGGGGAGGAGAGTGGGGAGCGGTCCTTAGGGTTTGGACCAACTACAGTCCAACGAAGACTTCGTTGGAAGATGTAAGGTTATGGGATCGAATCAAGCTTCCACATAAAGATATAAGTCACACTAGTGATTAGTGGAGAGATGTTGGATGAAAACAAAGACAACTCGACAAAGCTCGGGCAATGGCAGCTGAATAGATTACTACAGACATAGAATGGTTCACAGGGCAATTCCACTTCTCATTACAGTCGGTCACTCGATTGACTAACATATGCTATCCACATGGAATACGACAATCTCAACTTGATGAATTGGATTCGTCTATGAGAACACCAGCAGAGTGAATGGCTGAGGCTGCAGCAAGCAAAAGGCTCCCTGCTTTGGTCCTATCACATGGAGGAATCGACGCCATGGGCACGACTAAAGAATACCAACACCACGCAAACATCGGTACGGAGATCAGACGAACAGTACCGAATGCTTTGTCCTGAAGCTTTTTACTTCTGCCTGGGAATGCTGCAGCATGTGAAGACCAGCAGGAATGCTACTCGCTGCTTGCTGTCATGAATCCGATTACCTTCGGGCGCCATTCGTAGTCAAAGAAGTGCGTCTTCCGAGCGCACCTCCGCTGCAGTGCGTGCGTGGTTTCTTCTGTTCTTCTCTGGTTTCATCTGGATGGTATGGACTCCCACGAAGAGAGAGAGAGAGAGAGAGAGAGAGAGAGGTCTGATACGTATGCGGTTCCATGCATCACCATCATAACGCTGTCTGTGAGTCGGCGGGTATCATTGGAGGGGACGAAAGGAGGAGAAAGCTGGCACGAGCAAAGGCTGAGAAAGAGGTCGTCTGGGGTTGACGACTTGGCTAAAAGACATGACTGGTTCGGGACCATCGACGTGACGTGTTCATGCTGGGCTTCCATTTCCGTATGCAAACCATCATGAGGCATACGACAGACAGTGGATGCGGATGTGGCTGTGGGGTCCGCAGGTCACGAGCCCATGCAAAAGATTCTGACATCAATGCACCATCCACTGGTCAACACGGACATCAATGCGGAGATGCGTTAGATTTATCTGATAGAAATAATCTTTTAAAATTATTTAAGATTATACGAACGATATAATATTTAAAAATAAAAATAATTAATATTAACGATTTGAAGAGACATAAAGAAAGATCCTAATAAAAATTATAAAATAAAATTTTAAATAATTTAAATTTAAATAATTTTTTTTATAGATTTTAATGATGATAAAAGATTGATAGTAAATAATTGAGATTTATAACTTTGTTATTGTTGTAAATAATCTTTGTGATCAATCATAATTCTATGAAAGGATATTCTAACAAGATGATCGTTAAGAAGTTAAAAATATATTTGGGAAAATCATAAATTTTTATATTTTAAATGAGATTAAATAGAGTTTTAGGAATAAAAAAATTCTTAGTTTAAAATATATTTTAAAAATTTTCAAAAAAATGGATAGAGTTGTAGAGACGAGAGACTCTTATATTTTACATCTATATGTAAGATTAATTTAAGTCTCAACTATTCAAATCAAGTATCTATAATAGATACCTAAGTGTTTTTCTTTTTGAAAAGTCTAATAAAATTTTTTTCTTTTCCACCTTGGTTTCTTCTTCTTTTGATTTGGTTTGAGGAAGGGTTATAATTTCATATGATTCTCTCTTTCTTTACATGGTATCAAAGCTACAAGGGTGGAAATCTATGTTTTCAAGAACTTCTTAGTGAAGAAGATAACCTTTTTTTACTATAGAATATTATAGTCGAGTTAGTGAACTTGGTATTGAACTTCTCAATTAGTTTAACTACAAGATCTGGAAGACTTGCTTGGAGTCTTATCTGGTGACAATATAACAATAGCACTAGATGCTATAGAGATGCCACGAAGAGATGTTGTACTTTAAATGTAAAGACTGAATTTATTCATTGCAAATCAACTTCAGGGATTTGGATTACTCTTGATGTATTACTCAATAAAAAGAATATGGCTCCACTTCACTATTTGGAGAATGATTTGACAAATATTATCCAAGGTGATCAAATAATTTCTCAGTATTTTTCAAGATTAAAAATTTATATTCAGAAATATCACTCTTAGATCGAGATGAGCTTATTTCTGATGCACAAATGAAACGTTATATTATTCATGATATTTGAAAAGAATATATTCCTTATGTTACATCTATTCAAAGATAAGTTCAACAACTATCGTTAAAATCTTCTTCATTCTCAAGAATCTCTAGCTCGTCAAATAATAGAAATTTCTATTTCAAGGGAGATAGAGATGCCATTTTTACAAATAATAAAAAGTGTAATGATAATGATAAAGAGAAAAAGGATGATGTTAATAACAAGAGTTTTCTTCGAATAATAGTGTAAATCAAAAGAAGATCAAGTATTATAAGTGTGGCAAGTTAGGCCATATCGAGAAAAATCATCATGTGAAGATTAAAGAAGAAAATATTAACAAAAAAGATTGTTCTGATGCTATTATTATAATCACCGATAATTTCTCCCTTAACATAAATTAATTACTATAAATGATGTATTACTTTATTATAACTTCTATGTTTGTGTACTATAGTTAAATAATTTAATATGGTTTCTTTAATTATATGGATAAGTCAGGAATTCTACTAATCGATTAAATTATTAATTGATTTATTTTCTAACGAGTTATTTGAGTTTTAGGAAGTAAATAATTTACATTCTATTTTCGTATGTGAACTATAAAAAATGAATATTATATTTCTCTCTTTGTGTATGAAAAGAAAATTAAAAATAAATTAAAAATAAGAATTAAATTATTACTTATCTTACGAGGAGATCTTTATCTTCTTCTATATAAAGGAGGCTACTCCTCCCTCATTCCTCACCAAGCCTAACAATGAGAGGATTAAGGAGAGGACTTCCCGAGGAAATAATATCGAGGAAAGGATAGTCGATGAGAGGTAGGATCATTTCTTTTTTAACTAGCTTTGATATATTTTGAAATCTCGATGATAAGATTGTTATAATTTTTGATGTATAATGATGTTTTAATTTCAAAAATTATGATTAGTAAATAATGATAATTATTTTATGATATTAGAATGATTATTTGATTCATATCGATCTCTTAAACTTAAATGAATATTAATATTGATTTAATTATTAAAATTCTTATTTTTGAAATAGCATAATAGTTCTAGTTTATTTAATTATATATATATATTTATATTTCAAGAATTATGTGTGAATTTCTATAATGTAATTAGTTTTTAATTTAAGATCATAAATTTAAAGTTTTAATTAATGGATTTAAGTCATTCTTTAATAATTTTAAATGTTGAAATCTAATTTGATAAGATGAGTCTAATTGGGGTCTGACTTGAGTCAAGTTGATCGATCAGATCGAATCGACTCAGCCCATGTGGTTATGTACGACCTAGCCCATGTGACCAAGTACAACCTAGCCCATATGACTCGGCATGACCCAACCTAGGTGGTCGGGTAAGAGCCAGCCCATATGGCAAGGTACGACCCAACCCATGTGGCCAGACATGACCCAACCCATGTGTTTAGGTATGATCTAGTTCATGTGGTCATGTATGACTCAGCCCATGTGGTAAGGTACGACCCAACTATGTGGCTAGGCATGGGCCAACTCATGTGGCTATGTACCACACAATCCATGTGATCAGATATGACCTCAACTCATGTGTCTAGGATCAACTCGCGAGCCAAACATGGCTTAGTTCAATGGTAAGGCTCGATCCGACTTATAAGTAAGGCTTAGCCTAGTCCATAAAGTTAAGTCTACCTAACTACGCGATTGGTATTAGACATAT